GACACTCTTGTGGGACGCTCTTCTGGGACACTCTTGTGGGACACCCTTGTAGGACACTCTTGTGGTTCACTCTCGTAGGAAACTCTTGTGGGACACTCTTGTAGGACACTCCTGTGGGACACTCTTGTGGGACACTCTTATAGGAACTCTTGTGGGACACTCTTGTGGGACACTCTTGTAGGACACTCTTGTGGGACACTCTTGTGGGACACTCTTGTGGGACACTCTTGTGACACTCTTGTGGGACACTCTTGTGGGACACTCTGTGGGACACTCTTGTGGGACACTCTTGTAGGACACTCTTGTAGGACACTCTTGTGGGTCACTCTTGTAGGAAACTCTTCTGGGACACTCTTGTGGGACACTCTGTGGGACACTCTTGTGGGACACTCTTGTGGGACACTCTTGTAGGATACTCTTGTGGGACAGTCTTGTAGGACACTCTTGTGGGACAGTCTTGTGGGACACTCTTGTGGGACACTCTTGTAGGACACTCTTGTGGGACACTCCTGTAGGACACTCTTAAGGGACACTCTTGTGAGACACTGTTGCGGAACACTCTTGTGGGACTCTCTTCCAGCTCCCCAGATACTCCGCGTACTAAAGTTGTACTACAAAGTCGCCAGTTCTCAGCTTCCAGCTCCACAGATTGCTCCGCGTACTAAAGTTGTACTACAAAGTCGCCAGTTCTCTCACAAGTTCTCCTCTTCCAGCTCCCCAGATACCCCGCGTGCTAAAGTTGTACTACAAAGTCGCCAGTGCTCGCCTGCATTTCGCGCGCTCAACGCGCACGATCTCCGCAGAGGGTTGCGCGCGCATGGGACAAATCGCACTCTCGCTTGCATTTCGCACACTCGACACGCACGATCTCCGCAGAGGGTTCCGCGTCAAGTCTCCAAAACGAGCGTTTCGTACGAGACGTCCTCAAAAACTCACACGTCAAAGTCTGCAAAACGAGCGTTTCGTACGAGACTTCCTCCAAAAGTCAAGCGGAAACACCCATCGGAGCACACACATCACGCAGCCCTGCCAAGCAGTTTCGCGATTCCAGCCCCTTCAAACAACATCCGCTCACACGCCAATCCCAATGTGACAGCGACATTCACCTCTACCACAACTCACAACCTCACGATTCCCTGCGCCTGCCACGAATCTTTCCCCATCCACACGTCTAACGCGCACAAAGTACTACGCCTGCCACGAAATGTCACCTCCCTCACACCTCGCAACCTCACGATTCCCTGCGCCTGCCACGAGAATCGCACTTCCACGCTTCAAAACCCGCACGAAGTCCTGCGCCTGCCACGAAAAGTGACAATATCATACAATATCATCGCATGTGAGCTTCAACAAAATTTGCACCACACCACACGTTTGGAATGATTTCGACCCGTTCAGAGCACACTCCCATCCACCAAAATCGCCACTTCAGCTGAGACTTGTCACGAAAACCGAGCTTCGATGCCACACCCTGAAACGCAAATCCCAATGGCACGGCCACATCCAACACCCCAAAAATGCGACTCTCCAAACGCTAATCCCAATGGAACTGCGCAGTAATCTGCGGATCTCACAAAACGCTGCGCCTGTGCAGCGAAATGCATCACGTTTCTTGCGCGACATGTCGGTGTCATGCAAATCGCAATGGAATTGCGGCGCAAACTGACACGTGACACATCCATGAAAAGTCACTTGCAAAAGCTTACCCCGATGGCAGCAAATTTGAGACGCGACGACGACGACGCGACGACGACAAACGACGAGAGACGACGACGCGACGCAAGCCATGCAAACACAGCTCCAACCCCCAGACCCCCAACTATAAACGGGAACCCTTCGCTACGCATTCGGGAAAAACAACGAAAAAAATAGACAAAAAATAAATGCGCCAGGCTGCAGAGAACCCTCTCTCACCACCAAACTCAACGGCCCTCAAGAGCCGAAAGGCCTTGATGCCCCAGAGTATATGGAGTACATCAAGTGGCAAGCAGCTGAGTGGCCCCAATTTTTGTTTGCTTTTGTGTTTTTATTTGTTTGTTTTTCGTCGCTTTTTGCTTTCGTGGCTTCCGTGGCTTTTGGCTTTGGTGGCTTTTGTGGCTTATGGCTTTGGTGGCTTTCGTGGCTTTTGGCTTTCGTGGCTTGTGTGGCTTTCGTGGCTTCTGTGGCTTTTGTGGCTTTTGGCTTTCGTGGCTTTTGGCTTTCGTGGCTTCTGTCGCTTTTGCAAGCTGCTCACCTTTGGATCTGGTGTGCTGCTGGGGGGGGGGCGCAGCACCCCCCCCACACCCCCCGCGCCAAGAAATCTGCGCTTCATCTCCGACGCCCGCGCCTGCCACGAAATCAATATTTTAAGGTGAATTCCCCGGCGCACGCAATTCTAACCAAGCATATATGCATCCTGTGCTAGTTCTCTTTCTTTCTTTTCTATCTATGTATCTATCGATCCATTTATCATCTGTCTATCTTTCTATCTGTCTATCTATCTAGCTATCTAGCACCTGCCACGAAATCTACACTTCAAGGTCCACAAAGTACTGCGCCTGCCACGAAATCTACACTCCAAGGCCAAAGTCCTGCACCTGCCACGAAATCTGCACTTCAACATCCACAAAGTACTGCACTTCAAGGTCCACAAAGTACTGCACCTGCCACGAAACATGAAACTAGACGACGAGTGGCCCGAAAGCATTTTTCATCGCGTAGGAAGTCACAGTGCGAGTTATCTTTTAAGTGTGCAGTGTGAAGTGTTAAGTCGAGTGAGTTGAGGTAGTGTGTGGGTCTCTGTGTGTGTGTCCGAGTAAGTTGAGGCAGTGCGTGGGTCTCTGTGTTTGATGTGTGTGTGTGTGTATGAGTCCCTGTCTGTGTGTGTATGTCCATGTCTGCTGCTGGTGAAGGTCTTCACTGTACATATAGTGAACGAATTAGCGCGCAGGCCTCCCAAACCCCCCACCGGCGGCCAAGCGGTGACAGCCACAGCCCAGCTCCCCATGTACTACCAAGTCGCCAGTTCTCATCTTCCCACTCCCCAGCTACTCCGCGTACTAAAGTTGGGCACTTTAGGACTTTGCAGGCTGGATTATTAATATATGTTATCCTTGTTGTCAGGCGAACAAGAGGGGGCTTAACCGCCAGCTTGTAACTTTCACAAAAGGATACCCCACTCCAGAAATCTGAAGGCTGGGTGTGTGGTGCATGGTGAAGGCATTGGATTGGACGCTTGACTTGGGCTGATCGCTGCACTGCAAATGCTCTTGGCAAGTGGAAACTCTAGGCAAATGAGGCACATGCACAAGTTGGGGTCAAAAACATGCGCCCTGCTCTGTGTATTGTGAGGCTACAAAACACCCGCATCGGCACGCTTGGGTTCATGCTTGTCGTGGGTTGGGCTCCACGCAGTCTTGGCGCTTGTCATGCGCTGGTCACACTCATGGATCGGTAACCACCACCACAACAACAATAACAACAACAAATGTGACGACATTCGACATCGACCACGACCACGACCACGACCCGACCACGACGACGACGACAACAACGACAATAACAGGTCCTTCACAGCAGCTGGCGCCGCAGCAACAACGACAAGAAGATGAAGAAGAAACAGAAGAGGAAGAGGTCAATGGAATCATCAATTCAGCAAGCTAACAGCAATCACCAGTTAGAATGGCAATAACAGTCACAACACGATGACGTTATTGATCGAAAGTTATTGATGGCAAACCACAGGAGCAGAGAAGCAACAAGTTGCAATGACATCATTGACAAACTACAATGGCAACAGCTGCATATGGCAAGTCACAACGCCTAACAACAGCAAAAGAACAAATAAAAAAAAGTAAACAAACATCGGTATTACACAACGCAAGCATCATTGACGAGAAATGACAGGAAAAAACCACTAGGCCACTGACAAAGCACTGGAAGCTGAAGGGTCAAGTCACAACCAACGAACGCAGCATGAAATAGGACCGCTGGATGCTGTTAGGGATGCGCTTCCCTCTCTCTCTCTCTCTCTCTCTCTCCCTCCCCTTTCCGTGTCCTTGAGCCAGTCCTATCTGCGGCTTAATTTTTGAACGGGATGCATCCAGTGTAACGCTGAGCTGGTTTTGAGCCAGGAGGTGCTGTGGTCCTCTCAGGTGCGCGCGCAGAAATCACATCGTTGCTTACAACCAACAGTAATAACCAACATGACACTTTCACTAATTTTTGTAAGGGTGTCAAACAACCGACAATTGACGGGCCAAGTTAAAAACCTTGCCAGGACCACAAAGTGCTCGTTTTTGTCAGCCAGAAGCAATATGCGGATGAGCTGGCAAACAAGTTGTGGGAGGCAGAGCATGTTCATTCAAAAGCAGTGTAAGCATTGTGTTTCATGAGTGGGTGTGAACGCATCTGTGGTTTCAAGGAAAGGACTAGAATGATTAGAAGCGAGCGCATATGGAATTAGGATGGTCAATGGTTCTTCATGGGCTGGCAGGGTGGATTCAAAGCAGCTGCGATGCATGGAGGGAAATCACAGGAGTTTTGATCAGCATCATTTGAAAGCGTACGCAGAATGACTCCCTACTTGGGCACAAGATTGAAATGCTAGCTGCAAGGAGTCAAGATTGTGGACGCTGGACCAGTTCCGAAAGGGCGAGTTCAGGCGCTGGTTCGTGATGTTGCCACGGGCTGAGCCATGTATATTCTTAGCCTTGAGGCTGCTAGTGGCCACCGACGTGATCGGAAGAGGCAAACCCTCAAGCGTTACTTTGTTTTGCGCACCTATATGACCTACGTCACACTGACATCTCCTGACAGGCTGTCTCAATAAACTATGGTTGATGAAATCACTCATTTTCGTTGCCAATATTTGTTCCTACACTGTCGCAGCAGGTATTGACATCCCAAGCGTCTCACACGTGGTGGTTTTTGACATGGGCAACTCGGATATACAGTAGAGTAAATTACATGTAGTTGTCACACACCGGTATTTCAAGAGGACATCACACCATTCCACCGAGGCACAATTGATGACTATGTGCATCGCATTGGTCGAACCGCTCGCGGGAAAGATGGCAAAGGCAGCAGGGAGATCAAGGTGTCGTTTTGAGTCTACATATCATTGCGCCAGTGCAGGACATGCTTTGGTTTTCTTTGAGTACTGGCACAAGGTCACTTTTCGCACGACTTGTTTAAATGAACGTGTTGAAGGGTGGGCTGGGCGTGGTGAAGGAACCTGGTATTGCTGATGATCTATGCCAACTGCTGATAGCATCAGGGCAACCAGTGCCTGAGGAGCAATGAATGGGGCGCAGGTGAACGGTAGTGAAATTTCGTTGGGAGCTCGCAGGACTTGAAAAGGATAGCAGGAGAAGTAGCTGCTGGACGGCGTCAGGCCGGCGCCCAAATTAAAATTTCTAATTGCAACCTCATTATATAGTTATTACGAAAGCCAGCCGATTGGCTAGGCTGGAGTTTTCTATGGGGGAACGAAGTGAGCATTAGGGGGTGTGGGGGGGGTGGTTGCATAGCGGCGCAACTTGACTGCAAGAAACGATGTGACCGTTGAGGACAGGAGAGGGAACAGAATGCATTGGGCAAGCTTTGAGTTGCTTGGGGGTGCCTGTTTTAATGGTGAAGAGGCACGCAAAAGGGCACCCCATATGGGGTGGGAGTTCATGTGGAGGACAGGCATGGCAGGGGAGGACGTGATAGGAGAAGAGGTGGGGAGCTCACCAAGGAAACGAGTATAGTTTACAGTAATATGTGTGTGTGTATTTGTATATATATATATACGCGTGTGTGATGTGGTGTATGTAAAAATGTACATACAGTTACGCAAGTCAGCCGATAGCATGGGCGACGGAACCTCCATAGCAATCTTTGCTCGATGTTAGACAACACACGATCTTTGCAGTAGGTTTCCATCAATCTGCTCTTGGCGGCACGCAAAGTCTAAGTTTATGAATCCATCTACAAGACACAAATAGCAAACATCAGGCAAGCCAGTTCCTTGGGGGTGCCCTTTTTCAGCTTGAAAACGTCCTTGAACCAAGGGAAAGGGCTGCACCCCCCTCGCCCGACTATGTATTCTGCTTTCTATTTCTACCACATTTCGGCGTGGGTGCAATGTCGACTTCACCCCATAACAAAGGTACTCTTTGCCCGATGTTAGACAATCACTTGATCTTGGCAGTAACATCGGTCCACTCTTGGCAGCACGCCGAGTTTGTGAATCCATCACCAGGACAAGCATAACAAACAGCAGGCAAGCGCCCCTCAGTTCCTCAGGGTGCCTAATTTTCAGCTTCAAAACGCCTTTAAACCAAAGCAAAAAGGGCACCCCCCCAACCTATGTTTTCTGCTTTCTATTTCCGACAGCAGTAGACGTCACTGCAATGTCGACTTCCTCCCATAATAACGGCAATCTTTCTGCGCAGTTAAACAATCGCATGATCTTGGCAGTGAACTCTCATCGATCCACTCTTGGCAGCCCGCCGGGTGCAAAACACAAGAAACCAACAGCGGGCAAGCGCCCTCAGTTACTTAGGGGTGCCCGTTTTTACTCGTGAGAACGCCCCTTGAACCAACAGAAAAGGAGCACCCCACATCCGTGAATGAGAGCCTGTCATATCGGCCCGCCTCTGCCTTCTGTTTCCAGCGCGCTCTCGCATTCACCCCCCATGACCGTACTGATGTCTCCTTACGGAGGCTGGCTTTTGTTCCCTCCCTTATCCCTTCTCAGGTAATTATACAGCAAAGGGACAGGAGAGTTTGATAGCCCTCAAAGCCTCAAATGAGTCGGCTGTGCGCTTCTTGACTTTTCTGTAAGGTCTTCAACAAACCACGCTGGCATGGCCGAAAGTGGGGTGAGGGATACTCGAAGGACTCAAAGGAGCACGAGTGGCCAAGAGAGCACGAAGAAGATTGGGCGAAACGGACAAAGCACGTTGTGTGACTCCGCTTCTGTGTCTCACTCTGGTGGGTGGCCAATGCCCCGACTCAATGTTCTATCGGCCATCCAGGTGGACAAAAATTGCGCGCAAGTGTTTGTGAATAGCCAGTGGTCAACTTCTGAGATCAGCTTTGAACAAGCTGAGGTGTGTTGTTGAATTATGTTGAATTAAGTCTTGAAAGAGTGGCTGGAACCCAGTTGCCTGCTTGCATTTGGTGTGAAATTGAGTCATGATCATTCTCAACTACATTTCCACCAGTGGTGAGTTTTTGTTGCTGCAGTCCCTGACCAAAGCTCCAGGATTGGTCTTGTGCGTGCGCCATCACGGTGTGCGCTCTTCTGTCCACTTGCACAACAACAATCGCAGGTAAACTTTGTAGCCGGAACTTGGCAATGAGGGGACAGCATGTGTAGCGGTAGCTTTCATGATTCGGTCACTAATAGCAACCCACCTTGTTGGACTATATCTGGACTATCTTGCAAGCGACCTACTCCTATAGCCGAACCCATTTGTCACTTCCTCCTTGCCTCTCTTCTCTTGGTCTGCGCGTTCACCCCAAGCTTCTACATTGAGCTGCTCTCTTTGTCTCTGTCATGGATCCACCGGCTTCAAACTTCAAACATCGAATGAAAGTTAATTTGAGGGAACATATCGGATTCGGATGCTTGACGGCTGAAACAACATGAAACAACTGTTTGTAACAAAACCCTGTCAAAGCGACCTGATGGTCTAGTCTAGCTGAACCCGCGTGCTTCTCCTCGTTTATCATCGTCTCACTTCTCTGGTCTCCCCAAACTCGTACGTTGAGTTATTTACTGTTTCTTCAGCTTGCAGTGCACGATGTGTGCACTTATCGCGCAATTACCAGAAAGCAGAACGAAGCTTACCCAGGCGGGTATTTAATGTTATGCTAGAAAATGTCAAATAGCTGCTCATTCATTCATTCATTCATATGAGCTAGCGCCAAAACATCCAATGAAGAGTTTTAGAGGTGAACTGCCATTGACTTTGTATAGAACTCTACAATCACCGTGTGCATCGATAGGGAAACCTTGAAGAACGATACCAGCTTCTTCCAAAGAGTTTCGACGCTATCAAGTTGCTGGCCTGTTTTGGCACAATACTGTTGGAGCAGATTAACGGCTAGAAAGAGCCCTGAGCATCCAGAGATTGAAAAAATCAATCTCGGAAAATAGTGATCTCAGATCTGTTTTTGAAGTCTTCTTTTTGACCTGGGCAAAAACATGCTATCTGGGGATTGAAAATATCAATCTTTTGAGATTGATTTGTTCAATCCCAGCTTCGCACTTTGAAGTATCTCTGAGATTGATTTTTTCAATCCCAAAATAGTGCTTTTGTGCATACTACAGCTGTTTTTCTTCAAGGTTGTTACTAGTTGTCAGAAAGGCTGTGGCTTGAAACAAAGCCCAATTAATGTCTGGAAGGGGAGGTTCAAGGAAACACCCTATCACTATGACTTGCAGGAGGTCATAGACTTGGCTGTGACCAAGTTCAAAAACAATGCTTTCTGCTTTGGAGAGTACGACACTGTCCCTCGCACCATGGCTGCCTCAGGCTTTGGCTTGCTGCAGTGTCAGTTGCGGTTGAAAAAGCTGCTTCCTTTGTGCAGTGGTGAAATCCTCCCCTGGCAATTGAAAAATGCCACGAGGAAGCATGCAAGCGCACACAACCATAGCCGATACAGGCCTGACTTGTGGGCTGCCAACCAGGGTGCCAAAGTCACAGTTCTGCTGAACCATTGGAGGAGGCTGAAATACAATGGTGTGAAAAGGAGGCAGGCTTTGCTGAAGTTGGGCAAGATCAGGCAAGGTAGCTTGGAGGCCTTGCTTGCCTTGTCTCCAGGCCTGGAGGCTTGCAAGAAAGCCAAAGGCCAGAGCTCAAGCAAGGAGGCTTGTAAAAAAGCAAAGTCCTGCCAAGGAGGCTTGCAAGAAAGCCAAAGGCCAAAGCCCAAGCAAGGAGGCCGGTGAAAAAGACAAAAAGGAAATTCCTGCCAAGGGAGCTTGCAAGAAAGGCAGCAAAAGTACTGGCAAGGAGGCTTGGAAAAAAGCCAAACGCATGACGCCATAACAAAAAAACATCAAACAAGGCCACAGTTCCCATCTCACCAGTGTCCTTGGATACAGAAGGGTATCCTAGGATGTTGTCAGAAGATTTGGGATCCAGTGGCATGGAAGAATTTCTACAAGAAGAGGCTTCCCACAGTGGCTTGGAACAAAGCCTGCAAAGTGGTAGCAGAAAAACAGGCCCAGGCAAAGGCTGAAAGCAGTGGCTTGAAAAAAAAGCCACAGCAGCAGCTATAAAAATTAAAGTACCGGATAACCCCACATATGAATCTTTACGAATCTTGAGTTTCTAAAAAGCACAAAGCAGTCAGAGCCTCAATAGCTTCTACAACACGGTCTTGTCAGGAAGTGATATCAGCTTCCGACAACAGAGGGGTGGGAGAGAAGGTGTAAGAGAGTGATGTGCACGACGGATGTACGAGGTATTGTGCACACAGGTGTGCGCAGCCACAATTGTTGCACGTCCGCAATATGGGGCATAATGTACTAAAGTTGTACTACCAAGTCGCCAGTTCTCACCTTCCAGCTACTCCGCGTACTACAGTTGTACTACAAAGTCGCCAGTGCTCATCTTCCAGCTCCCCAGATACTCCGCGTACTCAAGTTGTACTACCAAGTCGCCAGTTCTCATCTTCCCACTCCCCAGCTACTCCGCGTACTAAAGTTGCACTACCAAGTCGCCAGTTCTCATCTTCCAGCTCCCCAGCTACTCCGCGTACTAAAGTTGTACTACAAAGTCGCCAGTTCTCAGCTTCCAGCTCCACAGATTGCTCCGCGTACTAAAGTTGTACTAGAAACTCGCCAGTTCTCAGCTTCCAGCTCCACAGCTGCTCCGCGTGCTAGTTGTACTACAAAGTCGCCAGTTCTCAGCTTCCAGCTCCACAGATTGCTCCGCGTACTAAAGTTG